AGAATATTAGGTCTTAACTTTCATTCCCATCTCCCATTTGGCTATCATTATTTGGCTAAGGAATTATCTAGTGATATGGGTGTTTAGGCTTTACGAATCCACAGAGCTGGGTTTATATCTTAGCTCATCACATTACTACTTGTGTGATATGACCCAGGTTCCTTGGCCTTTCTAAAACTTATTTCTTCTTCCATAAAATAAAAATGAGTCATTAGGATTATTTAGAAAATTTTAAGTAATGCTTTTGGTAATCTTAGCTTAGTGCCTACTCATATTTTGAGCCCAATAAAAAGTAGCTGACCCATTAAATTGGGCATCCTGGAATACAGACAACCAGAAGAATCAACTGGAATCTTTACAATCCTTTGGATACTGTATACTAAATTGCTTTCATTTCTCTCATAGGTGTCAGCCTTGCAAAATCCCTTGCTTTAGCCTTGACATCAATTCTTTAAGATTTGTTTTTCCTTCCCAGCAATCTATTTCATTGTGGCCCTTGTATCCCTCATGAATGAGCTTGCCTATACTATGATAGAAGGAATGATTTGAATGGTACCATCTTGTAATATATAACCTGTATCAAACAGAGCTGATTGTGAATGCTTAATTAAATAGAAACTTGGAAGAAGTAAACATGTAGGTAAAGCAGACCACTTATTCTTTATGGTCAATATTGAGGAATTCACCAACAGCAAATACTTGCCTAAAACCTATACTTGACAGGAGCTCATTAGATGACTTTTGTAAAAGACAAGTAAAACAAGTTATCCTACATGGATATAGTAGGATATGGTAATATGAGGATTATACTTAGAAAGAAAAGGCAACTGATTAGGAGAAAGGAGAATTGAAAAACCTAGGATTCTTAAGATTGCTCTAGTCATTGTTTTCTGTTATCTTTATAAATAGCATGTAGAAGGTGGATTGCAAAACTATCAAAATTTTTAGATGACATTAAAGTTTCCAAGTAAGAAGCACTCTTAGTGAGATAACAAGAAGGGTTTGTTTGAACACTGTCATGTATGAGTAAAAGTAGTCAGGAATGGCAATTATTTTATCCAATATTCCCAATAAAGTCCTGAAAACCAAAATTGATTGAGACTGAGTGGGTCTGTGGATTAGAGATAAAGCAACTTGGGAGCCTTAGGGAAGGCTCTTCTTTGGCTTTTGCACACTAGTTTTTTTTTTTTTTTTTTTTTTTTGTGGTGAAGTTCTTGGATATAAAGGATAAGTTAATTATGATGCATGTCTTCTTTCATATCCAAGAAACATGGTGGAAAAAAGTGGAATTACAGGCTATGACATTGGAAATTACCTTTGAGATGAGCAAAGTACACTTTAACATCTACTGGTTGAGTCTATCTTGTGGTTTGAAAATTCTTGTAGTTAAGGCCTTCTTAAATCCTTATGAGTTCATTGACTGAGAATATCACCCTAATATGCTGTTGTAGCCAAAATAGGTGTGAAACTTGCCACCAGGAAGGATATCCAAACACAATAGATGATGCTTTTGAATTTATATGTAAGGCTTTTGTGTCCATATCTGATACACTTGGCATAGTTGATTTTCCCAGAAAGATGGAGGGGGGAAGCTCAAGAGAAAAACAACTGAAATTGTTGCTGAAATTTTATAATTGGTTGAAAAGATAGAGATAATTCAATCTGATATGAGAAGAGGTGAAGAATCTTGAGTGACTTTTACGAGATTGTGAGCAACGCGTATAAGGTGATTTTTAAAAAGGACATCACTTATTAAAACACAAGCACAAGTGCTGTTTGAAAATTCAGAGTGATAAATATCAGAAATTAAATAATAGTGCCAATGCACATAGAGGGGATGCAGTTTTAAAAAACTTATAATTTATATGTAGGAAACAAAGATGGATTCATGAAGGGCTTGAACACACACACATGGCTCAGGTCTAAAAAGAAAACTCAGGGATATAAAAGGGACAGTAAGTGTTTCTCCTACATATATTTCAAAATGACAGAGAACCCTGGTTTAATTAGATATTTAGAGGTTCTTTTGTTCTAAATAAATATATCCACTTTACCAAACATTGGTTAATGTTGTTGCTCAGAGTTAGAATCTTAATATTTGTATTGTCTACAAATCGATGAGAAAGAGATTTTTGGATCCGCTAAGATTCTAAAATTGCTGCTAAGTTTGTCACTGAAATACCTTCATGCCTGAGTATTTAGCAAAACAAGGGATCTGGCTTGTTCATAAATCATGATGCACCATTAAGCATCTGCTTGGTGGCCTCGTTCATGAACATTCTATTTAGTGCCAGATCAGAAATGCTACAGATTGAATTTTTAGGGCATGGATATTTGCTACTGTACATTGGACAGGTATATGTTCAGGGTTCTTGTTCCAAAATAAACTTTGTAAAATACTGGTAAATTGATATCTTGCCTAGGGCATGTGCTGCAGTGGTATTGTTTGGTAAATCAATTTTAAAAAGCATTACAAACACCATATCATCTAAAAACTGAGGATCTTCAAAAGACCATGTGAAAGTCTCATTCAAGAGATTCTCTACTTCCTTGATACACCATCCTAATTAAGTCAATAATTGACATTGATGTTTTTATGTATTGACTTTTTCAGAAAAGTTAAACAACTATTTAGAGAGCTTTATTAAAAATTATTTTTTGTTAGTATTGTTCTCATTTTTTCTCAGGCATAATTCCAATAAGTATAATTAGGACTAAATCCCAGTTTTTTGTTCTGGCACCATCAGTTTCTGGTTACATGAGCTTGTGTGGGTCTCTGTGAGGGTCAAGCCTCTAGTTCATGGAGATTTTAATATAGAATCTCTACTGTTTATAAAATAGTGCATATAAGTAAATACATAAATAAGTGTGTGTGTGTGTATATAAATTGCTTACAAATGTGATATGTAACTGGTGTTCAGTAGCTGCTAGTTTCCTCAATATTTATGTAAGTAGATGTTGTTCCCAATTTGATCCTTGTTACCGAGCATGACTTATAATGTTTGTGCCCAGTGTCATTGTATTTTACTCTTTAAACTGAAAATTGTGATGATCACTCCACAAGTCTTTTCTCCTCCCAGTGTTTGCATTTGACAGGCTGATCCTGAAGCTATTGCTTCTCTTAAGTGTTCTGCAGGCATTGTAAGTGTCTCTAGGGAAGCCATAGCTGGAATTTACTGACTTCCTACACACATGGTTCCCTGCTTTTCCTTCTCAGCCCACCCAGCATCTTCTGTCTCCCTAGAAATGTGAAGGCTGTTTTGAGGTTGAGGTAAGAGAAGGGGTAGTCTTCTCCCTTCCAATTCTGGAAGTCCTAGTAATTCTTCAGTTCTTTAAAGAACCATTTAAAAATCAGTCCCTGTTATCTGTCCAGCAACAGTGGGCATGGAGGCTGCAAAGACTTTAAGACAGGCCAGGGCTTTAAGGGGCTTAGAGTTATTTAGCAAAGCAAGTAAACCAACAGAGGCAAAAAAGTGAAATTGGCCTTATGCCATCAGTTCACATGCCCAGAGGAACTGTCAGTCCTTGAACCACATCCTGATTCAGAGGACAGGCAGAAAGCAGGTCATTTGGTTCTAAAGAAAATGAAACTCAGGATTTAAAAAAAAAATTAGAGAAAATAACTCAAAAATGCAATTCAATCTGAAAAACAACCAGTTATGATCCAAAATGCCAAAGAAAATAAATAATCCCACATCTACTTGTACCTCTAAAGTCAACATAAATTTTTAAAATTGTTCCTCAAAATGGAAGGTATGCTTAACTCTTATTTCAAACTAAAAACAAAACAAAAACACATGAAACAGCATGTGGGCTACAAAATTGAGAAAAAAATAGAATAGTTCCCAAAAGTCTATTTTTAAAAATGAAGAAATCCATGCTATGAATATTACAATCTAATATTACTAGCGACCCAGAATCAAGATGATAATATTCTCAAATTCAATCTTCCATAACTAAACTTAATCCTCAATTTACCATTATTTTCAATTAGAGATAGTGATGGGTCGGCGATCAAGAAATAACTGTGAATATAAAACAGATATTTTTCCAGTGAAGTGGGGCTCACAGAGAAAAACCCATGTGCAAAAAAACAGCAATTTGAGATCATACTTTGCATTGATTTAAGAGGAAAGCAACAAGAGATTATGAAAAGAAAATATGTTCTCAATTGCCAAGTCTTCAACATTCATATATATTTAGAAAAAAAATACACATAAAATAACAAATTATTTTGCTGAATTCATGAGCATGTGAGGCCTCCTACTTATGCACCTTCCTCTGCCTCCACCTCCCTTTCTTCATCTCATAATTAGGGACAGCCTGTTATGCTGTGAAGCCAAGAGTTTGGGGCCTGGCATGGGAAAAGAAAAGTTTTTTTTTTAAAAGTTGGAGTGAGGTGTCCTTTACTTTGAAACTGACAATTGTTTATAGTGATAGAATAATTTTAAATTTTGTATTTGTTTTGCATTTTTAATACTTTCAATTTCTTTAAAATCTTAGATAAAGGCTGTTGGATAGGGTGGCTTTAATGTCAGACCAGACTGCAGATGCCCGTGCCAAGATTTACAAATTGAATGAATTTGTTCAAATTATGTAACTGAGCTACTTGGATCATTACAAGGTATGTGAAGGATCTGGCACATAAAAAACAAATAAGTAAATAAATCAGTATTCAGTAAATCGAAACATTCTTATTAAGAATCAGACTTTCATGGTGTATTTCTGTTTTTATAGATAAATTGAGGCCCAGTCAGTGAGTTACCCAACTTACTAGAAAAGAAGGAAGACACTAAACTTTTTGCAACAGACGTTCTAATTTCCCTGGGAACTGGAGCCATGCTGGAGATAGGACTTATATATGGCCTAATTATGTCTGAATAAGCACTCAACAGCTATTAAGCTACCAACAATCTGGGTATAGGGAAATGACATAAAAGTTCACTAGTTACCGTTATCACATCTCAGTTTTATTCATCTGAAGAGAAAAGATGTCCTACCCAGATGCTGTCTTCTTTCTGATACTGTTTCCAGTTGTATCCTGTATCACTGAACATCAGGCTGTAACTCGTCACCCAGTCAGAGCTTCCATATCTTCCCTGCGTGGCCACTGCTGTAATCTCCACTCTGTTTCCCAGGTCCATCTGGAGCCACTGTTGAGCATTGGAATCTACTGGGGACCAACCGCCAGTTCCTGGAAGAGGATCACACAGAGAGATTTGTAGTTACATCTAATATAGCCACAATTTTTGACTCTCAAAGAGAAATTAAACAGTGTCCAGCTAAGATACCTTGACCCCAAGCATACCCTGTCTCTGTTGTTAAACTCCTGGTAACTTCTTGGCCCAATTGCCATCCTCCCCTTCCACTTAATTTGCTTTCATGGTTTAGGGGTCACCTCAAATGCTCTTTCCTCTAGGATTCTTTCTCTCTTTCCTTATTCATTATAGTTTCCATCTTTTGGATTCCTACTGGAAGTTTTTTATCTATTAAAAAAAAATCAAAACTCTTTTACAACCTTAACCTTTAGCATGTCTTATATCCTCTGCGTTATTATATCTCCTTCTTTCTTTTCTTTTTTCTTTTTTTCTTTCATTCCTCCTCTCTTTTCTCTGCTTATTATCTCTCTCCAAATACATACTATGAACTTGCTGTCATGGACCAATATTTTGCTGCGGATACAAAGATGAAAGATTACTGACTATGCTTTTGAAAAGTTAGCATTCATTCACTCAAAAGATGTTTATTGAGTACCGAGAGCATGCTGGGCACTGAAGAAAGAGAGATATGCAAATAAATGTGTGATTTGATGTGAAAGAAAATCTTGCTAGTTGTAAATACAAGATATGAAAGGAACACAGAGGACAGAATGCCTAGTAGATTATCAGAAAGCCATGGAGCTGAAACCTGAAACAATTGTGGCCATTTCCTAGTCAAACAAGGATAAAAAACAGCATATGCAAAATCTCAGAGAGACATGAGAGAGTGCCACATGATCAACGCATGATTCAGTATACTTGACACATAGTAACAAAAGACTTTGAACCCAGAATTTCATTATTTGACACATTGGAACTTTGTAGAAGATCAATATTAACTCTTGCTTTGCTGGAGTGTTTTCTGTTTTCATTTTGCATAGGAATAAATAAGTTAAAATTCATTTTTACTGACCCAAGTGTTCACAAAATTTGTAAACCCTGAGTTGGAGCTATTGCAGAATGTCCTGTGCATGGGTGGCAATGGGATAAAAACAGCCTCTTTAAGTACCTTTCTCAGGGCATCAGGTCAGGGAGTTAACCGGATTTTTATTTAGAAATCATCATTGATACATTCCATTTTATCTCAGCCTATGTCATTGAAAATCATTTTAGTGATGTTCCAGTCTACCATTCTGCTATCTCTGGAGGAGTCGATTGGACTTCTCCTTGGGACTTGAGAACTTTTCTGAACCCCAGCTGCCCACAGCAGATATAGCCTCTCATCATATGAGAGTGGACATGTGGACAAAGGAGATGGACAACATGAGGTAGAGCCTACTCTGGCCATGAGACACATCCTACAAGTTGTGCATTAGTTTTGTCTCGATAAATAACTGTCACTATTAAGTTTTTGCTGGATAAAATGTTTTTCGCTACCCTGAGATGATTCAATAAATAAATAGGAAGAATGCTCAGCGTGTTCTATGAATGTATTTTATTAAGTTTTTGCAAGACATGGACGCAGTGGCAGATATTGCTAACAGTCACTAACACCCATTCTCTCTTCTTTCCGTAGTAATAGGACTGTAGTGTGTGCATGGCTTAATTGCACTTTTAAGTTGTCTATACTATTATAGATATGGACAGATGGACCAGTTGTCTCCGAAAAAAAAAATGTAAGTGAGAAAAAAAGGTGCCACTTGCAGGCCATCAGGTCTCTTTCCCATTTGCTTTTTCCTTCCATTATTGATGGATGCAGTTGACAACAAGGCCTTCGATGATAGCAGAACCAAAACATAGAAAAATCCTGGATTCCTGCATCAGCCCGTGGAGGAAAGTACCTGCCTACTCGAACACCTGCCCTAACCTCTAACATGAACAAGGACTAAATACTTATTGTGTTTAAAAAATTGCACATTGTAATCTACTTGATAGTACAGTTTAGCCTACCTTAATTCATATAGAATATACTGTGAAATTAATACCATAATTTCCATAATATAATCGAGGAAACTGAGATTCAACAAGTTTAAAACACCTGGCACTCAAGATTCTAGCATAGCTATTTGAGACCATTATGTAACAGAAAAAGGTTTTTAAAAGGTTTCTAAAAGCCTAGAAAATGAATAAGGAGGAAGGGCAATGAGAGGAAACATTCAAGAAGCCAGATGCACAGTCACATTTTTATCAATCAGCTCTGTCTTCATCTATATGTGCACAGTTCTTAATTCACTCCATCTTCCCCCAACTTCTCAAAACTGACAGAGAGGTTTAGGGAGCAGGTGATTTTACATTTCCAAGAAATCTAAAATTATCCTGGACTTATTCTTTATTTCCACTCAATCTTTCCTGCTGCCCTTTTCAAGATGCCTCTTTCTTCTTAAGTGAATGAAAAGCAAAGTTGTGTAAACTACATGATAGCAACCTCATTAAAACATGGCAGCACAAAATTTGTATGATGATTTCTTCTGAATGATGAAAGTATGAGTGACTTTTATGCTTTTTGCATGTAACGTATTTTCTATTATCCACATGCCTTTCTTTTGTAACCTGAGAATCTCATTACTCATATTTATATGGTTTATTGCATAGAGAGTATATATTTGACAGCTGGTGGTATAATAAAGGGCTTATGACTTTTTATGAGATATTGCTATTTTAGAATTTAAAATCTTCATACTTTAATTATTTCTCTTTTATCCCCAATAATCCACACTTGGGCTTCCTAGTCATGCTTTAGACTTTTACTTCATTTATTCTAATTATTCTTATCAAATGCATGTATGATAAGAATGTACATTGAGGATAGAAGAAGGAAAATAAAATGACAAAGCATTCACCTCACCACCTTGAAAGAATAAAATCACTAAAGACTGACCAAAACTCAAATTAAATTTAAAAAAAGAGAGTTAAAGCTAAAAAAAAAAAAAATGTTTCTTCAAATTTATTTAAAGAAAATTACATCTCCCTTTTGCCCACAGTAAAAACCTTAGCTTATTAATCCTCCTGAAGTTAACTAAATGGAATTGTTGCTGTTAGCATTCATTAACACATCAAAAATTTTCCAACCCCAGGAGAT